CTCCCACAGTGATGAGGGTGACTTCCAGCATTATACCAAGCAGGAGCTCAAGCTACATGTGACATGTGATGTTTGTCAAAGACTATGTTTACCAGCTAGAGACGGTTGGCACAAACCTTCAGAGACAATGATGCTGTGGGTGGGTAAAAGAACAGCCAAATTGTCTGCTACTTCAACAGTTCTAAATCTGTACAAGCTAATAGATATTGAGTGCAAGGAGGAAGGTCAAATACCCCTGAACTCCATATGCAAACCTTGTAATGTGCTGCTCAGATTGGTCACTATTCATGTCTTCCAGGGATAAACAGACATCTTTTAACATATTCCACCCTAATACCATGGGCATTCTCAAATTCATTCCTTCCATTTGAGTATCTATCAGGTCACAAATTACCAAAGCTCGATGTCATGAAAAGTGTAATTGAGGACAGATAAGGAGCACCTGATGTAACCTTGATTAAGAATGTTCCACCTCCGTAAAATAAAGACTTGCACGAAGAAAAAGACATCAAACAGATCACACCCCTCAGCACGATGCTCTTGGAAAAACTGGTGGGTAACAGTTGACGCCTCAGCACCTGTGTCAATTCGGCACAACACTTCCACTTTGTCAAATCTAATGTGCACGGGATGGCAAGCCCATATCACTCTACATAAGTAAAAACCAGAAGAACTGCAGTTGCTGTAAATCAGAGACAAAAATAGAAATTGCTGGAAAAGCTCAGCGGGTCTGGCAGCATCTGTGAAGAGAAATCAGAGTTAATGTTTCAGGTCGAGTGACCCTTCCTCAGAACTGATGCTAGGTAGGAAAATGTTAGTTTATATGCAGAAGATGAAGTGGGGGAGGGGATAAGGAATAAACAATAGGTGGGGATAGAGCCCAAAACAGAGAGGAGCATTTGGACAGACAAAGCAGTGGATAACGTTTTGGCTAGGAGGATGAACAGCCATTAATGTGGACTGTTAATGGCTAACAGTAGGTGATGTGTAATAGTGGACTATGTGGTAACAAGGCCTGTTTTGTGGGAAATGGGGTAAAGACAGAGGAGAGCACAAGCCCTAAAATTAATGAACTCGATATTGAGTCTGGAAGGGTGCAGGGATCCCCCTCCCCCTGCACCCCACCCTATCTTCTGCATATAAACCAACATTTTCATAGTTACCATCAATTCTGAGGAAGGGTCATTAGATCCTAAACATTAGTTCTGATTTCTCTCTGCAGATGTTGGCAGACCTGCTGAGATTTTCTAGCAATTTCTGTTTTTGTCACTCTACATAAGACTAAGGCTCTTCACGGAGGAACCCCAATGCAGTCTTCTATTGCTGGATCAGCAGATATTTCCATATGGCCCCTCAAGGCTGCTCCACCAATGAAAAAAAGCATAGCACAACTTTTATTTCAATGTATTTTCTGGCGCGACCACAACATCCCTCGATTTCCTTAAAGCTCAAAAATTGATCAATCGCTGTATTGAATTTACACAAAAACTGAGTTTCCTCTGGAAAATAATTCCAAAGATTCATCACATGCTGAACAAAGAAATTTCTCATCTCATTTCTAAATGGCTGACGTCTTAACCTGGGACTGACTTTGATCCATGTTCTAGACTCACCAGCTGAGGAGGGAAAAAAGCCTTTTAGTGATGGTCCTGTTAAGCCCTCCCCAAATTCTATACATTTCATTGAGATCACCTCTCTTGCTTCTAAAGTCCAGAAAATATAACCTTCAGCATTGCATTGTTTCTAAAGTAATTACTTTTTTATCCCTCACAATCAGCATAATAACACAATCTTTCACAGAGAGATTTCAGCTGCTTTTTTCTGGTTATCATAACCCAGGAAGTAACTCTAATAAGCAAGTTTGCAAACTTTGATCTGATCGAAATAGTGTTATGATCAGAGCTGATGTTACTACCTGACAAGTCTAATGCTAGAATGAAGTCTAGATCTTTTGTTTTGGTTAAGGTAATCATTCACTGAAACACAGGCACACAAGATTCAGATCTTCTTGAATAATAAAATAGAAGTATATTACACAAAAGGAGAAAAATCAAGCTATCTAAATATCAAACACTATTTGCAAGATCTTAAAACACAGCAAAACAAAGTTTCATCTATTTCCCCAACACCATCCCTTTACAGTGGTAGAAATCTTTCTATATCCTCTGATTCTCCTCAGCTTTGTCCTATGAACTGTCAAGTCTTTTTCATGAATACTCACAAAACTAGTTTAGATTTTCTCAGTCTTAATAATCTGGAAATTTCCAACCAAACATTCTTGGTCTGAGTGTCCCAAGTTAAACCTTTACGCAAAGGAAACTGTCGTCCCTGAACTGAGATAGTAGGAACTGCAGATGCTGGTGAATCCGAGACAACAAGGTGCAGGGCTGGATGAACACAGCAGGCCAAGCAGCATCATAGGAGCAGAGAGGCTGACGTTTCGGGCCTAGATCCTTCATCAGAAAAGCTTTTTTCAGGTCAAGGGGGCGGGATGAGGTTAGTTGGTAGGAGATGGAGGTGCGGCTTGAGGCGGGAGGAGGAAGAACAGGTTAGGGAGGCAGGGACGAGCTGGACTGGTTTTGGGATGCGGTAGGGGGAGGGGAGATTTTGAAACTTGTGAAATCCACATTGATACCATTGGGCTGCAGGGTTCCCAAGCGGAATATGAGTTGCTGTTCCTGCAACCTTCGGGTGGCATCGTTGTGGCACTGCAGGAGGCCCAGGATGGACATGTTGTCTGAGGAATGGGAGGGGGAGTTGAAATGGATCTAGGCCCGAAACGTCAGCCTCTCTGCTCCTATGATGCTGCTTGGCCTGCTGTGTTCATCCAGCCCTGCACCTTGTTGTCTTCCTTGAACTTCCTGCATTCCTTTCTAGGAGAAAACTATACTCGCTCTGACCCCAGTCGAATCTCCTCAAAAACTGCCTAAAAGTTTTCAAATTCTGGGGATCTTTGAAGCTAAAATCAATGTTTGATTATTATAATGCAAAAGTAAGCTAATGCCTTTCAATGTTTACATTGCTTGTTGTAAACTTACAGCATAATCAAACGTCTATTAAAGCTCCAGAAAGTTTGCAAACCCTATTCTCTGACTCATACTAGATTAAGTGTTGGTTCTGGAAGGACTCTAGGGCCTTGTTTTAGTTTGAAGTTGTAACAATTGGAATGAGGGCCTGGTGGGTCTCATTGACAACGAGACCCTTGGTTAGGGGTGTTAACCTGGGCCAATGAGGGAGCCCTGGCTGACAGATATAAACAGGCGATTCAGTCTCCTCATTCTAGGGACTGGCTCTGAGCTGCCTGGTTAGAGCTCAGGTACTGCGCATGTGTAAATAAAGAGTGAGATGGTGATATGATAACAGCCTCTGTGCAATTATTTCAGAACTCAAAAGTAATCAGCAATAGTAATTGAAACACTTTCGGTTTAATCACTCATCTTTGATCACAGTTTCATCTATTTACACTAGCAACTGTATTAATCTATTATTTGAGATTCAAACACAGAAGAAACTCTGTGATAGGTTAAATCCAAAGTTGTCTTATTAGTGCTATTTCTGGTTAAAAGTCTATCAGTTGATAATTCATGTTGAGTAGAAAAAAGTACCCATTTTTTAGCAATTAAACATATTTCTATTGAACCTAATAGCACATATGCTTGATAAGAATGCAATCAGTGGAAAAATACAATACACACTCATGCAAAACATCTAAAATAGCCATAGCTTCAGAATGGGATTCATGGTTTTATTTTGTCTAGCTTTAAGTGCTCTTAAAAACAAATGCTGTACATGTAGCACTAAAGAACACCAGGGGCACTATTCCTATATCTGAACCAGAACCTCTAGTCTCATGTTTTTCCTCAGATTTGAAATAAAACACAAATTGCTGAGAAACTCAGCAGGTCTGGCAGTATCTGTGGAGAGAAAGCGGAGTTAATGTTTTGAGTCCAATGACCCTTTTTCACAACCAGGAAGAGGTGGTATATAAGCTGATGACAGGGGGCGGGAGGGAAAAGTAGTGAGGGGATTCTCATGATTTGATGGCCTGGGAAGGTGTGTCATTACACAGCCAAACAGGTTGATTATCATTCAGTAAATTCTTCCTCTATGCCTTTAGAAGGTGGTAACATTAGGAGAGTTTCTTAATCAGTCAGAACTATAAAAGACTCCAAACACACAGGTTCTTGCCATGAGCCAATGTGATCTTCATTCTGGGAGACCCTCTCACACAAACAGTACCCGGTCCATCACTGTATGGTGTTAGTGATGGTTCTCACCAGCAGCTTTTGCAGAAAGCAACATTGACAGCTTGTTTTCCTTTCTGTTGAGTCCTGGTCCTGGGGGAATCATCTTCTTCTTGAATTCTCTGTCCCATATCACCATGACTGCCACCATGACTAGGGTAAAGCAGGAAGTGCCAAATCCACCTCAGCTAGAACATGGTTTGAATCCAATTTCTGTTTGCACCAATTTGATCAACCAACACCCACCCCTCCTCGAAAGGAGTCCACACTTCAGTGACAGCATACACTTTTGTACCCATGTTGTCGCTAGAGCTACAGATTGAGATGGTAGATACTTCAATTTTATTCCATCACCTCAATGACTAGGAATCTTGGAAAGATTTACAAGTTGATGCTCAACCTGGTCTCATTTTGAACATACCTTTCTTAACTGTCAAGTCCTGGAGTGGGACTTTAACCTGGAGTTTCTGGCTCAGAGGCAGGAATACTACAAGTGCACTACAAGTTCACCAAACTAATGAGGATAGAATAACCTGTAACGTGGGGAAAGAGCAAAGGTTTGAAAATGTAAATGAAAATATTTAATATGGATGAGACAGAGATGCTGTATATTTAGTTGTTTTAATTACTGAGCCAAGGTAGAAGCAACAAGCTGTACTAAACAAACATGTTTATTGAACAATTTGAATTCCATTTGATACACGAACAGATTAACTTGCTTTTAGAAAAACCACTGAACCGCACCTTTGAGAACTTGAATACCTTATTTATTAAAATTATGACTCTCTTAGGTCTGTTCCCTTAATTGATTACCTTTTGTGATTCTTACATAGACTTGATGCCAAAATATAATCAGCTCTTACAATTTTAAATCAGGTATATCCCTTCTCCTCCCACACATTTCTGACTTCTGCGCTACACAGTGCAATCTCAATACGTGCTTGTAGAATGCTGAAGTCAGATGTGCATAGTCCTTGTAAATGGCCTGCTGTTGTCAATGCTGAAGCAGGAAGTTGGTGGCCATATTAAGGTCATTATTGGTAGCTCTCAGAGCTTCCATAGCATCTACTCTAGAAAAGCCCATCTCCATCAGCCTCGCCACCTGCAACACACAAAAACACACAAAAAATAAATTCAAATAAGAAAAGTATAACGTAACGCAAAGTATGCAATCTGGTTACACATCTCATCTCCATCCTAGCCAACATTGATGCAATGGATTGAATGGCACCATAACAATTCTGTGATTCTGGCCTCAGTCCACCTGCTGCAATTTGGAAACCATCAAGTCTACCTTTGTTCCTTTTAGATTTGATTATTCCAATTCACTTCTGGCTAGCCTACCATTTGACATCTTCCAGAAATCACAGATTTAACTAAAACTCTACTGCCCTCATCTAAGCTTGCATTAATTCCTGTTTACCCACTCTAACCTTATGCCCCACTGGGCTATTGTGGTTCCCAGTTAAGCAACACTCAATATCAAAACTGTTATCCCTCCATGCCCACAACCCTTCCCAAATCCCGTGATCTCCTCTAGCCCTCCTATAATGTTCTGTTGTAATTCAGGCCCCTTGAACATCCCTGATTGTAATCGTTCCATCATAGATGACTCTGGCTTCAGGCCCTTTGCTCTGGAATTTCCTTTCCAGCTTGTTTAAGATGCTCAATATCAGTCTGTTTGACCAAGATGTTGGTCACCTACCCTAATGTGTTTGCCAACACCCCTGTCAACTGCTTTGCACATTTTACTACTTTAAAAACCACGTAAATACAAGCTGTTGCTGCCATTGAAACAACACAAAAATTAGAATGTTAAATTTGAAATGTTGTTGAACAGTAGCCAAAGTAGGTCAACAAGCACAACATGGTGATTCGTGAATGGAAAATTTAAGCTGGCATACATATCATAAGCATTAAGTACACGTCTGTAAGAGCTGCTAGTGCAACATGAGGGAGGACAGGCCCAGATAAAGCACATACTCAGGAGAATGAAACCATGACCCCAGAATCTACTACAAGTGCCATAAAGGGACTTTTTGACAAAGTAACGTTTCAATTTTGGTATATTTTTGAAAATGAATGAGTAATAGTAACCTGAAATCTCCATTAATTGAAGACATTATCTGTTAAATGTCTCAATGTGTCCTCCCACGTTCCCTTAAATTAGTGTCCTCTGGTTCCCACCTTTTCTGGCAATGGGGACAGTTTATCCTTCTCCACTAGAATTGGGTCACAGTCACAGGATAAGAGGTAGTCATGTAGGACTTGATTTTGAATGCTCACAATACTTTTCCTAGCTTAACAGGAGCAGTGGAAGGCAGCAAAACTCGAAGAGAATACCACAACAGATTGCTTTGAAGTGACAACTCAACAATTTTCCAGTACAGCTTATTTTCTGACGAAGTAGCACGAGAGATTGAATACAGTACCTTGATTCATCTACAACATCACAACTTTGAATTCTGGAATCAGAATCCCAGTGAGCGGGAATGAGTTGTATGTGATGGCTCACACCTTCTGCACCTAGGCTACATTTTGAGTGCCATTAACTTAAACCTAAATGTCACTGACATGAGTAAGACAGTATGAGGGATTTACAGCAAATATCAACATGCCCAAGCTTGTCCAATAGTTAATTAATACACAACTTCTAAAAACCTTCAAAGTCAACTAGGCCTGATTTTCCAAAGCAATGCTTAAGTACCTTTGGGAAGTGAAATAACTCCACAGAGGCAAGTATCCCATCACCAAATCACTCTTTGTTTACACGTGCACAGTAGTGACCCGCTAGCTCAGAGTCAGTCTCTACAGTGAGGAGAATTCCTGAGACTCCTGTTTATATCTGTCAGCCAGGACTCCCTGATTGGCCCAGGTTAACAGCCCAAATAAAGGAATCACAGTCAAAGAGATCCTCCTGGTCAACCTCATTCCAATCATAACAGGAGGGAACAGTAAAATATGACTGAGATCATATGATATAGAATTTTTAAAGTTGTAAAAGTCATTTATATGAACATAAAAATTAAGATCACAAGGCAGTCCCTTGAATTTGATCTATCATTCAAGAACATCACGAATGATTGTCAACCTCAACTCGTGCTTCCCTCACTATCCTCATATCTCTCGATTCCCATTGTGACCAAAAAGCTATGGACCTTTGTCATGAATATAAATCATTGGGGTACAGAATTCCAATCATTCACACCTCTTAGAGTGAAGTAATTTTGATTCATCTCAGTCTTAAATGATTAAACCCCATATCCTGGAACGGTGACCCCAGCTCTGGATTCTACAGCTGTAGAAACAGCCTTTCAGCATCCATCCTGACAAGTCCTCAAAGAATTTTACACGTTTCAATAGGAAATACATTTTGTTTCATATTTTAACACAACTCATGCCATGAGCAGTTTGGACAGAATAGAGAAGGGAGAAAACTGTTCCATTAGTAGAAATTCAGGCATTAGAGGCTATGGATTTAAGCTGATTGGCTATAAACTCTATGCAATTCTGCAGAATCTTCCCTCAGTATGATGATTACATTGTCAAGTGGATGGCACAGAATAAATAACAACTTACATTTGCATTGTACTATCCTTAACCAAGTTTTTAAATTGCTTTCCTCTGTATTGGCTGCCAAACAATCAATTTTGCAATTGCAGTCGGGAATTGAGATTAATCTCAAGAACACTGCTATGACAGAACACCCAAGAGAAACATCACAGGGATGTGACAATTGTCAGTGAATTGTAAAAATATTTAGGAGGGGTGGTGGTGGATGAAAAGGCAGATTCCAATTGGAATCATAACTTGTGCAAAGTAAGATGGTGGTTGCAGGTTAATCTTCTCAGTGCCAGGACGTCTCTGCAAGAGTTACTCAGGGTCGATTTTTTCTTATCAACCTGCTCAGTCATGTTATTATCTCCCTCTGGAGCAGATGAAACTTGAACCAGCGCCTCCTGGCTCAAAGGTAGGGACACTTATGACTATGCCACAAGAACCCTATTTTCTAAAAGTAGGCTCAAGCTACTTCATCAATGACCTCTCTCCATCATAACGTCAGAAGTGGAGATGCATGCTGATGGTTGCACAATGTTCAGCATCACTTGCAACTCCTCAGGCAATGAAACAAACCATGTCCATATGCAGCAAGAACTTACAACATCCAAGCTTGGGCTGATAAATAGAGGTAACATTCATGCCCCCCAAGTGCTAGGCAATTACCATTGCTAACAGGAGAGAATCTAACCATCAGTCCTTAATGTTCAATGGCATCCACACCCTGCAATACCGATGCTCAGTGGCAGCAATGTCTACTGTCTACAAGATGCACTGCAGAAATGCACCAAAAACCCTTAGACAGCACCTTCCAAAATCACAACCACTTCCATCTAGAAGGACAAGGGCAGCAGATACATGGGAACACCACAATTTGCAAGCTCCCCTCCAAGCCATTCACCAACCTGACTTGGAAATATATCGCTGAGGAATTCCCTCCCTAACAACATTGTGGGTCAACCTACAGCACATGGGCTGCAGCGGTTCAAGAAGGCAGCTCACCACCACCTTCGCAAAAGCAACTAGGGACGGGCAATAAATGTTGGCCAGCCAGCAATGCGCACATCCCATGAGTAAATTAAAGAAAAAAATTACTATTGCTGAATCCTGCACTATCAACATCCTGGGGATTGTCATTGAGCAGAAACTTAACTGCACCTGCCTTATACGTATTGTGGATATAAGAGCACGTCAGAAGCCAGGAATACCACAGCAAATAACTCACCCCTGTCTCCCCAACTACAAAGCACCATCTATGAAGGCACATGTCAGAAGTGTGTTGAAATATTCTCCATGTGCCTGGACGACTACAGCTCCAACAACAAACAAGATGCTTAACATCATCTAACCAAAACAGCCTGCACAGACACAATAAGTCAAATGCCTTCCTTCTGTACTGTAAAATTCTGCAATACTTCTTGTATGATTCTTTTACAAAGCAGTGTGCTTGACTGTCACCCACTTCAGCACCTTGAATATTCATTCTTTTCACCACCGATGCACTGTGGTAGCAGTGTGTACAAGATGCACTGTAATAACTCACCAAGGCTTCTTTGATAGCCCCTTCCAAACCAACAGCCTTCACCATCTAGAAGGACAAGGCTAACACATGCATGGCAACCTGAAAGTTCCCCTCCAAAACACATCATCCTGACTTGGGACTATATTGCCATTCCTTCAGTATTCTGAATTCTGAACTCCCTTCCTAACAGCATGGTTGGTATCTGTACACACTAAAGATAGCAGTGGTTCAAGAACACACCTCATCACCGCCTTCTTCAGGACAATTAGGAATGGGCAACAATTGCTGGCTGAGCCAATGATACTCACATTCCCCTGAATGAATAAAAAAACACAGGCATGATTCAAAACATGATAACATATGTAGAAACATTCAGGAATATACCTAAAGTTGGCAAACCTGCTCTATTATGTGGGATGGAAAGTAGAGTGAGTTGTGCTCCTTCAAACATTAATCACTGACACTTATCATGCTTTGGAATCACCAGTGACATAAACAAAGGTGTGTGATTTCACCAACTTCAAATAAGACATAGTTACTGAAACACTTAAAACAGCATCTGATATGCAGCACAGCATCTGATCGTAGTGAACTTTACAGTTTACACTCCACTGACTACATGTCTTCATCAGAATTGTCTTTTCTTAGCACTGTGAGTAACAAAATTTGTCTTCCATTTGCTGTGCCCCTCAGTCATGGCTCATTGGGAAGCAATCTCATATCAGAGTCAAAGACAGTAGAATCAAGTCTCACTCTGGGGACCCAAACACAGCATGAGACTGACACTCTCAGTGCAAGTTTTGTGGGAGTGCTGCATTGCTGGAAGTGCCATCTTTTGGTTGGGGCATTAAAGTCAGTCCCATTTATCCTCTTGAGTAGATGTTGAACGGCTCCAGGGATATGAAGGTATACATTAAAAATTCTTGTTGCACAATAAACTCCACAAAGAAGGTAAGTTTTGAAAGTGTGAGGGACTTGCAATATGCCACCTGCTATCAGATTGTCTGTATTGCAAGCTATCGATGCCATTAATTCTTTCCCCTTTCTCTGTTGGCTAAAGTTAAGGCGAGTGTACAGTGATCAAGGCATCAAAAGAAAATTCCTCCCTTGTAAGGATGAAAGAAATTTACAGGCAACAATTTTCCAATTATTGCACTTCGCCCTGTGAATCTGGTCGGTGAGTGTTTGCGTGTGCATGTGTGTACGCATGGATATGTGTGTGTGTGATTGTAAATATCCAATTTAAACCTAAATGATTAATTTGACAGACTGCAATTTAAGACAAAAGCAATTCACATCAGGTTTTGTCATTAAACAAACTTATACTTTAGCAAATGGAAAAAAAAACATGGTTCTTGACTACAGTTGTTTCTGCTATTACACATGTTTCGTTAATACAAATTGGCTTTAATGCGATTGGTGAACAGGTGAACGCTGTCTGTAAAATGCAAACTTTTGCATACGTATGTTGGCTATTATGCAATTCCGTTCCCTCCCCCATCAAGTTATCTTCAAATTTTTTCAAGGTAAAGTGTTAAATTTACTGTATTATTTCATTACTAGATATGAATTTAACATTTATTTAAACTGTGCTATCCATTGTGTTAGGCTAACTACTATATTTGTTTCGATTTTGAGTAATATTTTTGGTGGTCCACCCCGACCCTATTTTTTTCCATAAGCCCTATTATTTTTACTGCGCAATTTTCTATAGTGCAAGGTCGCACAAGAGCGCAACCATTGTATTATAGCAGAAAGGGCTGTACTATTATGCGATTTAAATGATACCAGTTTGAAACCCAAATATCACACATTTATCCATGAATAAGACAGACAAAAGACAAATGGTTTGACACAAATATTATGGGTGGGAAAGGCCCAGTCCACAAGATGGAATTTATTTCTCTCAGTTGTTTTGATTTTTGTAATGATGACATGCTGCTATCGATAGAGTAAGGGTCTCCCTTTGATTTACTAGCTGATCTGGTAAACCTAGCTCTTTTCTTGTCTTAGAATTCTTTGTTTTAAGGTTCTTGGGTTTTTGTCTTTTCATTTTTCATTCATACAGAGTGAATAGAAAGAAAGCAATTTTATGCTTGCCAGCTCTGGATCGTTTTGACTGCATTACTCTCACAAGTATTTAGAAAACTACAATTTGATCAATCTGAGGGCTGTTATCAGGCAATTCTGCCTTAACTCAAAGACTTCAGGTGACACTCGAACTCAATACTATAGCAATCTTGCTGCTCCAAAGGCAACATAGTCTGTAAGAATGTAACAATTTGCAACACTCTGCTGGTACTTACAGCTACATAGCAGTGTCTGATTCCCATTCCAACTTATAGTCCAAAAAGAAAATATATGGTCCTTTACTGAGTTTAGAGGTGATGTCCTGCATTCAGACAGTGCAAAGCAGACATTAAATTAATCAGCAGTATCAGGGGTTGATTCGGTATGTTTCCTCAGAATGAATGTCTCTCTGAAGGGTTCGGAAAGTTGGCTGGAATATAATTTAAAATTAATGTATAGGAATAGAACCAGAGGACATAATTTCAACCCAAAGTATTTCAAGGAAAAATATCACACAAAGAGTGATCAAGACTTGTAACAAACTCACAGACAGCAGAGACAAAAGCCTGGAATAATTTTGGGAATAACTTGACAGTGCAGTGGGACCAAAGGTCTTTAAGATAACTCTCTGTATGATTAGGATAAAGCATATTCTTTGTCTCAGCAATAAATCCTCTATAATGTTCTTTTCATTTTGCGATAGCTCCCTCTATCTTACCAGCGCAACATATTTTTGGCTTTTAATGCAGGCACCTGTGACCTCAGTGTGCCTTATGTCGGGCTGGTTGTGGGAAGCTGGGTGGTTGAGATATGTTCATTCACAACTGTGCAACTCATTTTACTCAGAATTCTTACCCCCAACAGATCTGTTAATATCAGCAGTCTTTGGATCTCCTATCATTATCAGCAGCATCTCTGGTTTCCCTGTCAATGTCAGCAGAGTCATTGGATCCACTCTAAATTTTCCAACATAAAGGGCTTTTATCAGTCAAGCTCCATATTGTAAAATAAAACAGGCAGTTTGCAACCACTCAGCCCACGGCCAGTTGATCAGAGTTCAGGATCAGCACGTTCCTGTGAGGATGAAAGATAAGGATGGCAGGATTTGGGAACCATGGATGACAAGAGATATTGAAACTCAAAAAGAAAAACGAAGCATACGTAAGGCCCTTGAGGAATATAAAAGAAGCAGGAAAGAACGTAAAAAAGGAATTAGAAGGGGCTTTGAAATGTACTTGGCAAATACGTATATTTGCAGCAAGAGGGTAGCTAGGGAAAGGGTAGTTCCACTCAAGGACAAAGGAGGGAATTTATGCATGCAGTTACAGGAAGTAGGTGAGGTATTTAATGAGTACTTCATGCCAATATTCACCAAGGAGGGGGCATGGATGATGGCAAGATTACAGAGGGGTATGATGATATTGTAGGGGATGTTGATACTAAGGAGGAGGTGGTGTTGAGTGTCTTGAAAAACACTAAGGTAGATAGGTCCCTAGGATCTGATGGGATAGATCCCAAGATACTGAGGAAGGTAAGGGAGAGATTGCTAGGGCCTTGACAGAGATCTTTGTTCCTCTTTTGCTACAGGTGAGATCCCAGAAGACTGGAGAATATCCAACGCTGTTCCCTTGTTTAAGAAGGGCAACAGGAATAATGCAGGAAATTATAAGCCATTGAGCCTTACATCCGGGGTTAAGGACCTTGTTGGAGAAGATTCCTAGGGATGGATTCATTGGCATTTGGAAAAGAATGGTCTTATTAGGGATAGTCAGCATGGCTCTGTTTGGGAGAGCTCTTGTCTCACAAATTTGTTTGAGTTTTTTGAGGAAGTGACAAAATTATTGATGAGGGTTGGGCAGTGGGTATTGCATTTGACCAGATCCCTCATGGTACAGAAGATTAAGTCACTTGGGATCCACAGTGAGCTGTTCAGTTGGATACAAAATTGGTTTGGTCATAGAAGGTTGTTGTGGAAGGATATTTTTCTGACTGGAGGTCTGTGATCAGTAGTGTTCCACAAGAATCAGGACTGGGACCTCTGTTGGTTGTAAGTTATATAAAATAATTTGGATGGAAACGTAACTAGTCTGATTAATAAGTTTTCAGACAACACAAAAATTGGAGGAGTCGTGTATAGTGAGGAAGGTTGTCAAAGGACACAGCAGGATATAGATCAGTTGGAAAGTTGAGTGGAGAAATGGCAGATGTAGTTTAATCCAGAAAAATGTGAGAAGACGCATTTGGGAGGTTAAATGCAAGAGGAAAGCATACAGTAAATGGCAGGACCCTTAAGAGCACTGACATACAGAGAGATCTTGGGGTGCAGAAGAACAATGAGTCAGGAATAGAAATTTAGGTCATGGATTAAGTATTACAGAAAAAAGGATAAAATTAACGGCAGGTTGAAGAAGAATGAAGATTGAAATGGATGGTGCCAGACTAGAACAAGTCGATAAGTTATCTATTCAGGATGAATAATAATAGATGATAAATGTGATGTCTTCAGAAGGAGGATAGAGATAGATGTAATTTTGTGAAGATGAAGGAGGTTTTTAACAAGAAAATGCGGGCTTGAAACAAGCAAAAAATTCATAATATGCTACATTCCATTCACTTACCTGTATGCCTCAGAAACATGGACAATAAGTAAATACCTGTCATGTAAAAATAGAGGCCTTTGAAATGTGGATGCAGATGAAGAAATACTTGAAATGACAAGGACAAAAATAAACTCTCAAAAGTGACACGTGTAAATAAAAGAAAATGTCAGTATCTCAGTTGCTGGATCAGAGCTGAAAAAGCTCCAGAGAACTCTTCTGCAGGCCAGTAGAATGAGGGGTCAACCTAGACATCATTGGATGATGTAAGTCACAGAGTGGTTACAGATAAGCTGCAGTGGATGTTGTAAGGTGCAAGACAGCCCAGTATAGCAGGTTTCCTGTTAGTCATAGTGGCAAGCAGAAACAGGAGGAACAGGACAGAAAGAGAAGTAGAGAGAGAATCAAAGATTAGATTAAGCAAGAGAAATAAAAATGGAAATAAACTTTTTAATGTTGAAGAAGAATTTATATCCTGCACGACTGAGACTCCACAGTTTAAATGATTTTCTTTTGGGCCTGGAGAGATTGCTGGCATTGCAGTACAATTTTCCTGACGTTAAAATGAACCCTATGATACGGACGGTGGACAGGTTTCAAAATCATAGCCTGCCCAACATGTAAATAAATAATGAAGGGCCAATTGAGCATCTCTGCCCATGTCATAATAGAACTACCACTAGGGGTCTCTGGCACAGTGGTAGTATCCCTACCTCTGAGCCAGAAGGCCCAATTCAAATTTCACTTGCTGTAGAGGTGAGTCATAATCTGAACAGGTGGACTAAGTGTCTGCAGTTGGCGTGGACTAAGTGTCTGCAGTTGGCATGGACAAGTGTGTGGCAATGTGTAGCAATTCTATTTTTTTAAATAGTAGGAAGGAAACAAAGGTACTATTTTTGAAGGATGTCCTTTGTCCACCTGAGCAGTCCCATAATTTAAACACCCTGATTCTGCCCCACCAAAAGGTGAACAAACACTCCCAGTCCAATGCCCCTGACATACCTCAGTCCACAATCCATTGGGCCTCCTTTATGGGTATGCCAGTTGTCCTGGCAGTGTGCATACTGAGCTCTGGTTGTGCTGTCTGTGGAGCCGTTACCAATGCAACTGGTCAGCAGTTCCAGAGGTTGGGAAGTCCTCCCCAGTGAGTGACCGAAACTTGACTCTCCAGCTCTTCAAGCCACCTACAGCATGTTTTGGCTGTGGGGAGCGCTTCTTCCTGGCCTTTTGGCTTGCTGCTGCTTTTCTAATTTTTTATCCATCTCACTCTTCATCCCATGATCTTGTTGGCCAATATATTATTAATAATGGAAATGTACTGTTAAGAAATTGTTTTTCGTCTCTACAAGTCGGACAGCCATGCATAACATGCCGATTTTATACTTCCTCCAATGTTGCCTATTGGCTTTAATGGAAATTATATTGAAGGGGCGTGAAATCCAATGTGTGTGTAAGATCAACATTGCACCTATATTGTTATTTCTCGAATCATACAAATACTATCCTTTAATTTATACCAATAGGTGGCACTAACAATCCACCAGAGGATTGTCAGCATGTGCATTAGTTAAAAATGAGCATTTTGTTTTGCTGGGAAGAGGCTTCACCCAAGTGATTGGTAAATGAAAGTCTAAATGGGATGCAGCAGGAAAGAGATCTAAAGGCACAGATACACAAATCACTAAAAGCAGTAAAACATAAAAAAAAACACTGTGGTTTGTTTCCAAAGGGCTAGAATTGAAGAGCGGAGTAATGTTAAGCACATGAACTAAGAACAGAGGTAGGCCATTCTGCACCTCTGCCCTGTTCTGCCATTTATTAAGATCATGGTTGATCTAATTGCACTAACCCTAAGGAGTGACCATGGCCCACCCTGCTGACTAATTTGGAAAGATGACAAGTGACCTTGGTGTGGCTCCCCGACTGACTTACTGCTAATCTTGGCAAGTGGTTACACTGGGCCTGCAGAACCACTCCACAGACTGTGACAATATGGAACCCCTGGCCCTGAATACTCCAACTTGCTGACAGACTGTATCCAAGCTACTCGATTGAGATTGGATGATTGGTAGAGGTGTTCAAGATAATGAGAGGCATAGACAGAGTGGATAGCCAGAGACGTTTTCCCAGGGAGGAAATGACTATTACGAGGAGACATAATTTTAAAGTGATTGGAGGAAGGTATAGGGGAGATGTCAGAGGTAGGTTCTTCACACAGAGAGTGGTGGACATGTGGAATGGGCTGCCGCCAGTGGTAGTGGAGTCAGATACTTTAGAGACTTTTAAGTGACTCTTGGAAAGACACGTGGAGCATAGTAAAATGTAGGGTAGTTTGATCTTAGTAGAATAATAGGTCGGCACAACATCGTGGGCCAAAGGGCCTGTACTGTGCTGTACTGTTCTATGTTCTATGTTCACTTTCCTTCACAATGATCATATCCATTAGTATCCAAAGATATAGCAATCTCCATCTTCAAATACTCAATGACTAAGCATCCACAGCTCTATGGTGCAGTGAATTCCAAACATTCACAACCCTTTGAACAAATAAATGTTTCCTCATCTCTGTCCTAAATGACTGTCCATCATCCTGATACCATGCCCTTTAGTTCTAGACTCTTGTCTCGGGGGAAACAGCATCTCAGCATTTACATTGTCAAGTCCCTTAAGAACTTTAAACATTTAAATTAGATCAATGTTTTTTACCCCCTTAAACTCCGAGGAGTATAGGCCTGGCTTGTTCAATCTCCCCTCACACGCTGATCTCCAGATCCCTGAGAACACTGTGGTGTAACTTTGCTTTGAAGTAAATATGTCTAACATGTATATTTGTTGAAGAAGCATTGAAGAATAGATGTTCAGCATTATTTGTGTCAGAGGACACTATATATCAGTAATAAAGTACTCTATGATGAATGACTTACAATGCAAAATGCAAAATGATTATTTTTATTTTAGTTTATAAAATTTTAAAAGGCATCATGTGCCACAGGAATGCTCACCTGCTCTTCAGAAACTGGAGCAGCTGTGGAAGGTCTGTTCAGTCCACTCTCTTGGTGTTGATTGTTAGCAGGAAATCTGTTACGCATTGGTGGGAACAGCCTATTCCAGTTAATTAGACCACCCTGGAAATTACAAAGAAATGTAAATGTTTCCACTCAATGCAACTCAAATGTTACAAGATTCCACTTGCAGAGCAGATAATGTTGCAGCCAATGTCTCATTGATTACCCAGCTTCTGCTTTGGGTGTAATTGGAAAATTCCATTCATTGGTTACACTTCAACTTTTCAATAAAACACCTTTCCACAATCATGAACATAAGGTTATTAACCAGTGCAATGGGACAGCAAAATAGATGTGTTTTTTTAAAAAAATCTATTAAAACATACTCAAGAGTGGTAATCTGGTTTTATCAATGCAGCTGAAAATGTGTTTTATCACCAAAAATAAGCAGCTTCAATCAGCAAATACGATCTTCAACCTGTGAGAAAACTGACCCAAAAGATAATTGAAATTATTTTCAAAAAACTATATTGAACCATTGGTAGGGTTAGGATTAGGGTTTGAATTATGGTTAGGGTAAACTAACCAGTCAGTTTCTTAGCAAATAACATAACTCATCATGTTAAAACGTTAAAAACTACCGATTAATGCGGCTAAGAGAACAAATACAACTTAGAGTGTCCATGTGGCTCTGGGCCCAACTCATTGACATCTAAATTCCCTCATCTTTACTCATTTTTCGGAAGAAAGGTCCTGATCCGAAACGTCAACTTTCCTGCTCCTCTGATGCTGCCTGGCCCACTGTGCTCCTCCAGCTCCGCAGGGTGTTACCTCATCTTTACTGCTGTCTCACAAGGTTCTACAGGATTGCATGCAAACAATGAGCAGAAAGTCAACCTTAATAGATGTAGATTTTGTCATTGCCATATTGTTCCTTGCAGGAGATTAAGATTGAAAGAGAAACCAGAAACACACAAAAGCTCCATTCCCTTTTTTTTTGCACTGTCTTCAGTTCTTATTGAGCAGAAAAATAGCTCTTGTTTTGTGCTGCTTTCAAATGAAGTTCAATGAAAATTTAGATCCAAGATGAAGTTCACTACTCAGATAATACCTAAAGCAGTGACCAACAGTCCTGTACATGTATGGCACATGGTGTGTCATCATCATAGGTGTTGCATAGTGGATTGCACCATTGTCTTAAATCAAACGATTGTGGGCTCAAGTCCCATCCCAGAGACCTGAGCACCAAAATCAACGCAGCAAGAAAATGTCTCACAGGTGAGATGTGAAACTGAGGCAAAATGATCCTTTGGCATTTTTTAAATAAGAACATGTGTCCTGGTCAGTATTTATCTTTCAATCGACATTATTAAAATAGCGTATTTCGTCATGATCTTAATTTTTTTTGTAGGAACATCGTGTGCAAATTAGCTGCCTTATTTTCTCGTATTGCAACAGTGAGTACATGTTAAAAATGTACATAAGGTGCTGATGGACGTCACAAGTTGAAGAATTATTGATTACCAAAACAGATTGACAATAGTAAAAGTTGAACTGAGTCTTGGATGTTATCAATGGAATACTTATTTAAGAGTGTTCTAAAAGCTATTACATGGAAAAAGCAAGTGAATTAACATTGTCCTCCATTACATAATTGGCATACTGCCAAACAAAAGTCTAACTTGGGCATATGGAAGTGCAAAAGCTGGTAAGATCCAGTTAGACTAGGAGGAAATGAAAGAACTGTTAACCCAAATGAAACTGAAGAAATTAACAGACTCAAAATTATCTCTCACTCTTCAATTAATATGGTTAAAATTTAGCTTCTATTACCAAATCAATTTTATCACTGGATTTAGGAGCTATATTCTCACAACGTGAGCAGTCAGCTCAATCTAAATGTCATATAAAAAAAACTTTCTCCACTTGCAATCACGTTCTTTCTAATGGATCAATCGAGTCTGCGTGAAAATGTATTGCTTTATTATGTGAGATGTAAAGGTCAGGTTGAGCGACTGAAGTCACCACTCCTATTTGATATGCAGAAAATGCAAGTCTGCAATAACAGAAAAGCACTTGACTGTCTTGTTACAGAAAAACAAGGAGGACTGCTGAACAGTAGAACAAAAATACTCAACATACAAGATTTGTCAATTTCTGTCATTGTGCCGGAATATATTATCAATGTAGTACTGGATCTGAAAGTTGTGAGATGATGGAGATGTTCAAGATTCTGAAGGATTATATAATAGCAATAGCTTACAATTTTTGGCAAGATGGTTAAAAGAAGATATACATTTAAGGTAACAGCAAAACAAACTGATGGTGTGAATAGAATTTACTTTATACAGACAGCAGTTAGAATGCAAAACATTTGGTCTCCCAGGTATTGTTGAAATGAAATCCTTTGTAAGGGAAATTTGATGGATTTTGAGAAAAACGGGGACACAGATTGTATGGAAAAGTGTAAATGAGATGCAGTGGCTCTTGGGAGAAAAACATAGCAGTGCCGACATATTGGGCGGAATGGCCTTTTTCAGTGCTGTCCTTTCAATAGGCCAAGATGTGGTACGTACTTTAAAGAGGCTGAAGAGAATTAGTAAATCAAATAGCCAATGGGGACAAAGGAATCAGTTTAAATCATAGAATCCCCACAGTGTGAAAACAGGCCATTCGGCCCAACAGGTCTACACTGCCTCTCTGAAGAGCATCCCACCCTGACTCATTCCCCTACCCCTGTATTTCCCTGTGTCTAACCCGAACATCCCTAGACACTATGGGTAATTTAGCATGGCCAATCCACCTAGCCTGCACATCTTTGGACTGTGGGAGAAAACTGCAGCACCCGGAGGAAACCCACGCAGACACGGGGAGAATGTGCAAACTCCACACAGAGTCGCCCGAGGGTGGGATTGAACCTGGGTCCCTGGTGCTGTGAGGTAACAGTGCTAACCACTGAGCCACCGTGCCACCCCAAGTACTAATGAGTATTCTTGCATTTTGTATTTATTAATAGCCCTGTAGACAAAGCACTACAAGACAACTTGTAGCACAAGCAAATTTCTTGCAGTATCAGCTTTGATGCAGCCACATGGAGATGTACAAGAGCAGGCCACAGTGCATTTCCCCTGCTTCTTCTGGGGAAGCATTCATTTTACAATTACTGCCTCAACAATACTAACATGCTTTTATAAAGTATCTTTAACATAGCAAAGCACTCCAAGTCACTTCACAAAAATGTTATCAAACAAAATGTAACACCATAAAGAGAAACTAAGAGATAGGTGATCTGCTTGATAAAGACGTAGGAGTGTCTTAGAGGAGGAGAGCGAGGTATGGAAGCAGAAAGTTGGGTGGAAAGAATGTCAATGCATAGGGACAAGGAGCTGAAGGCAAGTTCACCAAAGCTGAATCTATTAAAAATGGGGATGAGTAGGAGGGCCACAAGGAGTGGAGTGCAGAGATCTTCGAAGTTGCAGGACTGGAGGAGGTTATAGGGTTAGGGAAGAGGTGAAGTCATGGTGGGATTTGAAAACAAGGATGAAAAGTTTTAAATGGACACATTGATGGATCAGAAGTTAATAAAATTCAGTCTCACCTACAAACTCCTACAACTGGGAATCCAACATCAACTGTGGAACAGATCTTACTATGCTGTGTCGTACTGCATTGGAACATTTATTTTTATGGACTAAGAATGAACAGTGATATAAGCTGAACTTATTGAAACAAATAAAAATGCATGACATATTCTCTTCTTCCTGTTATCTTTGGTAATGAAAAGATGGAATTCTAATTTGGCTTATTTCTTCCCACACAATTTATGATTGAATGAGTCAGTGTCTACCAAGAAAGTTCGAAAGGCTGGACACACAATCAAAATCTCAGATCTACTACTCTGAAGTCATAGATAATGGACTAATATCAGATACATAGAATAATTCAGGGACAACTTATCATGCCTTCGGGGAAAACACAGGTCTCAGCTCACAGCCCAACCACCCCATACAACACCACCTTTTTTTTTAAAAGGCTTTTAAAAATATCAAGTTAAATTGCAAGACAAAACATAATATGCCACAAGCAACAATCATTTAGTAACATCATAACAAAAAAACTGGTCACTTATACCAATGACCCTTTGTTAAAGGAGATGGAATTGTGTACAGACTCCAGTCAAAGGAGCTAAGAAATTCAACATCTGCAATTGCACTTTTTGGTCAGTTTAACATATCATGAACACAATGATTTTTTGGTGACCACTTTGTTACTGTCCCCTTTGTTTGATGGTGTGTGAAAGGGCAACATATTTGGGATTATTCCTTTTATGGGTTACTGATTCCATATCATGACCCTGTGGGGAAATTCCAAGTAGAGCCCCAGGGTGTTTCCCAAAAATCTGTTAATTAATTAGAAGCTACATTTATTATTCTTAAAAACTGCTAAAACTTTCACTTTTATCATTGAAAGGCAGTGGAATAGGATGGGAACAAAGATTACAGTATTACAGAATGAATGGCTGTGTCCTTAAACCATTTGGCCTGTGCTGGCTCTCCACAGGAATAATTTAGCTTATCCTGTTTCCTATTCCTCCACCCCCTTCCCCCCACCCCACCCCCCCAGCAATGCAATATTTTGCTTTAAGATTTTTATCCAATTCCCAATTTTTGAAACCCATGATTGTATCTGCCACCATCAGTGTATTCCAGAAGGTGATCACTCTCTGTATAAACATGTTTTTCCCATAATGCCTTTAGTTCTTTTGCCATTCACTTTAAATCCATTCACTTGTTCCGCCAATGGGTACAGTCTCTGTCTACTCTGTCCAGTCCCCTCATGATATCAAACACCTCTGTTGGATTAATTAAATGTTTTTAAAACTCCCAAGCTCTTCCAACATACCAGGTGGTCAACTTCACAATAGTATTGATGTGGGCAAGAAATAAATTGCGTTTAATTTACTTCTATGACCTCAGGACATTCCCAAGTATTTTATGGCCAATAAAGTACTTTTATACGCAGACATTTTTATAATGAGGCAATCGTAGCAGCTAAATTGCATTGGAAGCTCCTACAAACAGCCAGATGATGACTGGATGAGATTGAGGATAAATACTTAC